CTTATAGTAGTGGTTGTAGATAAATCAAAATAAATTAATAAAAAATCATTTTGGGGCTCATTTTTATCTTGTTCTTTAGTTGTTCTAGGAATTCTTGTTCATCTTATGGCCAATATTCACTTTTTCTTTGAGGCTTTGCTTAAAGATGTTTTCAAGTCGTTGTCTTCTTTCTGTCTTGAGCTTCCCTGTTAGCACAGTAGCTCTTTACTATCAGGCTCATTTTTTGTTCACTGATTCTTCTAGCCTATTTCTTGACTATGAACTTTATGTTGATGTTGGGCTGTGCTTATACCTCTAGGCTTTCTCAGTTCAGACTGCAAGTTTTCAGTGCTTCCAAAGTAGTATGATCTGTTTACTGCTCTCCTTGTCTGAGCTGTGCAAGTTCCTGACCCAGCTTTGGGTCTACTGGCTTGTGGATGGTTGAGATTCTGTGGAATGTTACTGGACTCAGTCCCTGTTAGGCCACTTTGAGAATCTGTAGGTTCAGAGGTTCAGCTTATTGACTCTCCTTGTATCTGGGTCTCCTACCTCAAGTATCCCACTGCAAGCTCACATGCAGGACTAAAGGATAGTGCTGAGCACCATGCTGTGCTCTGGGACTCGGTCCCCACAGCTCTGTTTGTAAAACATTCCTGTGTCAGTGCTTAGCTACGGTAACATTGCTCACTGGCTTACTCATAATACTCTTCTCTGCCCTACGTCTGTGGACCAGAGATGCCAGCTGGCCCCATTCCTGCTCCCAGCACTAGTATAGTGTCCCCTGGGACCTGCTCCTACCCAGAGGTTCAGTCCCAGCCCTTTTACCATCCTTGGGCACTGAAAAGCTTTCCACTGTCCTGACTGCCATTATGCTGGGCTCCTGGCCAGCTCCCAACCCAGTGTCCATAGCCGTCTCTTACTTCTTATGCTTCCTTGGGCTGGAAACATGACTCATAGTGACTTTCTCTTAGGTTTTCTGGTCAGAATGCAGTCTGGTACATTTTCTAGATGGTTAGAGAGGAGTTGAGCTGGGCTGTTTGCTATCTTGGCTCTGCCCCTGTGTATATAAATAGCAAGGTATGGTTGGGGGGAAATTCTGCATGCTTGGCCTCCTTTGCACCTCTTTGAGAGGTCACTGACCCAGCCTTTTGCCCTGAGCTCTCTTAGCTTATTTGCCATTTCGACCTTCATAATCCTGGCCACCCCAGGTCAGGCCCTCATCACGCTCTCCTGGGTCACTGCAGCAGACTCCTGAGTGGCCTCCCTGCCTCCAGTCTGTTCTTCACTCTGTTTCCAAAGGAACTTTCATGAAGCATGGGGAAGACCAGGTGACTTCCCTCCTCAGCCAACTCCAGGGGCTCTCCTTTGACTCCAGAGTAAAATTGCCCCACTCTGTCTTTCCTGCCTTAGCCTCACTGGGACTCAGTCCTCCTTCCACACTCAGTGACCCTGCCAAAATCGCTGCCCCCATGCTAAGAATTGAGTCTGCCTTCCCTTTCCACTTCCAGTTCTAAGCCCCTGCACCCAAGCTGGTACCCTTTCTTCCAATCCACACATATTTATTAAGCACTTACTATGTGCCAGGTCTTAGCCTAGGGCATATGAGTACAAAGAATAAAACAATTCCTGTTGGCAGGGAACTTACTTTCTAATGGGGAAGACCAAAAATGCATGCAAAAGTGTTCACAGCATCAATGTAAAATGAAGAAATATGCATCCAGGAGTTCAAGACCAGGTAGTTTGGAATGTTCCTGTGTTCTCCATCAGGGCAGAAGTTCCAGTGGGTACAAAGGTTTCTTTCTTCATCCTGGTGTTGCCAGAAGTCAGCCCTGTGCCTGGCACAGAGTAGGTGCTTAATAGATGTTGAAGTCTCTAATATCCCATGTTCCTTGTTTCTCCTCCTAAGAGACTTTTCATCTTTGTGTGTTTTCCTTTTTGTTTTCAAGGCCGAACAGCTTGTCCTGTCCAGGGTTCATGCCCTAAGAAGGTGACTGAAGACGCTGGCTTCCGAATACTCTAGCCTTTGGCTGAAGGAGGCCACCAAGCTGGATGACCTGGAGCTATGGCAAAGAGCTAGTGGGAGTGGAGGTGGGAAAGGCCTGAACCACAAAGATATTTTGACTTTCGTGTAGGGCCCTGTGAGCCGATGGGGAGCCAACCTGGAGGACTTCTGAAGGGACACCACTGCCCACATCAAGGTGAGGAGAAAGCAGAATTTGCCCATTTATTCTTCTGAGAGGACCAGGTTGCCAGAACCAGTGTCTCTTAGTTTGATCTCACAGGGCCCATGGTTGGGGCAGGCAAGTCTTGAGGTGAAGCAGTACTCTGGGATTGCCAGAGCCTGCCAAGTTTTCTGGGTTTTGTTGAATGCCTGTATCCTTCTCTGTGTTTCCCAGGAAGCTCTGCCCACCCTCAAGGAAAAACATCAGCTAGTCTTTATCATATGCTAAAGAAGATTCCTCGGGCATGCCAGGTAATACAAAAACTCAGATGCTTCTGGAAGCAGAGACAGTGGGGGTGGGTATCTTGGGGAGGTTGCTTTTGGCTGAATCAGCATCCTTGAAAGGCTGATGCTGCTCTCAGGGGGCCTGGCACTTGCCTACAGGGTTCTGGCTGGATTCCATACATGTCTGGGAGCATTTCAGATTGACATATTCTGCTCTCGCTGAGAGATGGCCACTTACTAACAGAGCTGCCTAATGATCCTGGACCCCCTTGTGTGAAGGATGAGTATGGAGTTTACTGACCTCAAGCAACCTAGGCCCCCTCCTGCAGCTCCTCTCTGGAAGTGCCCCCATGTGCCTAGCACAAACATGCAGGAAGACTAGGGAGGGATAAGACTGTCAATGAGAAGAATGTGACTTAAGAACTGAGTTGGGAACTCTCTTCAAGGGACTGAGAAATGACCTCACCAGTCTGGGGAAAGTGGCTCATGCCTAATCCCAACTGAGCTTGGGTCTTTCTCAGATGCCTCTTCTTGGAGGGATGGTAGGAGAGGAGCCCAGTCTCTGAAAGGTCTAGTATGGATGAAAGGTCAAGATTTCTGGAGCCCAGCAGTTTGCAGATACTCAGATCCTCCCCAGCAGACAGAGGGCCCAGCCTGAGGAGATCATGAATCCCCAGAGTACAGCACTGGTGTTTTCATCAGTCTCATTGTGTCCACACTTTCCTTACAGGAGCAGGAAAGCAGGGTGCTCTAGCAGATTTCTGAGTTGGAGAGGTAAGGCCCAAAACTGACTTGCAAAGGGAAGAAGAGGGAAGGAGTGCTACAAACCTAGATCAGAGAAACCACAACTCAGATTCTCTGGGGTGGGTCAGTGGAGCCAGAACACTTGTGTTAGTGTGCAAATAGGATCAATCTGAGTTGGAGTGGACCTCAGAGAACAGATGAGGGTACCGAGGCCTCGGAGGGAAATGAGCTGCCCAGGATCTCACACAGAGTAAATGTGAGTGAAGACTTGCACCCAGGTCTCTGGCTCTGTTCTTTCCATTGGGTACTGGGTTTCTTTAAACAAGCCTATTCCATTTCCTGTCCTCTGTTTGACTCCTTCCTCCAGCGACTATTCCAAAGTTGACCTTAACCTTTCATTTTGTCACTGTCTAGTGTGTCCCATGAAGCCCTCTGTGAAAAGAGACCAAAAGGGCTAAATGAAGATTCTCAGGCTGAGGGGTGGCCCTGGGGCAAGTCGCCTATGATAAAGCTGGGGAGTCCAATTAGACCTTCCACGTTCACGTATGGAGGGGTGGTCTAACAGCAATTGCCCAGTGACCCAGGCAGGCTGATGTTCTCAAAGGCCAGATCACAGGCAATGGGGACGTCATTGCTTTACAAATGGCTGCAGGGACTCCAGAGAGCTGAGCGATAACACTGTGGCTTAATTCAGCCACTGTTCTTTGAAGGAAGTGTGGGACAGAAGGGCTCCAGGGTCAGGTGTCCACCAAGGGATCTGAGGCTTTCCTTACTCCATTCTACTCTTCCCACAGGGCAACAACACAGTCTCATATCAGAGGGCAGAGCTTCACATCTTGAGCAACTACGGTCACCCTGAGTATACCTGCATTTACTCGTCTGGGTCCATGGGAAGTATGCCAATTAGCCCCTCCCCCTGGGTCCCTACATTCCTTCCCTCTTCAGCCACCTCCCTCTACCAGCAAGCAGCTCCCCGACCTTCTCCTCCCTTCCCTATGGTTAATCTCTTTTGGACACTACGGCCTCTGGAAAAGAGACAGAAGGTGGGAGCCAACCTCCATGGATCAATCTTGCCCCACTGGGCCCTCACTGATATGGAGGAGAGCCCACCAGCTGAGCAACTTGTGTTTCATTCCCTATCCACCTTTTATTTTGGATTTTTGGTGAGGCAATCAGGGTTAAGTGACTGGCCCAGGTTTACACAGCTAGCAAGTGTCAAATGTCTGAGACCAGATTTGAACTCAGGTCTTCCTGATGCCAAGGCTGGAGCTCTATCTACTGTAGCATCTAGCTGCCCCCTCCACTCCCCATCCTCTTGAGGGTCAGGCAGTCAACCTCCCTGCCAGGCTCTGCTCACCCCCAAGAGTTGTGTATATGACTATGTATTATATGTTGGGTGGGTGTGTAGGGAATAGTGAAGGCCTTGCTATGCTCAGAAGAAGTCCCACAGAACCACAGCTCTAGAAAAAGGAATTTGGTGTATTAAGGGCATGACAAATTGGACAGCTGCAAAGGGTGCCTAGTAGCCAGTCTGTCATTAGCCTGTTCCAGAAGGTGGTAATGCCCCTCTCCATGGTACGTTTCATGGTTCTTTTCACCACTGGCCATGATGGGTGCAATGTTGACCTTGACAATGAAGAAATCAGGAAGAATGGACCTTGTCCCATTCAATCACAGTTCACACTCCCCACAGACACCTTCTCACACTCTTGTGGCACTTAGGACAGCTCACTGGGCAGCTCAGGCCAAGTGCAGGACAAAAAACCTCAGTGGTGTTGGCTGACAAGCCCTCTGGGCTCCTGAATGACAGCAGTGATGACTGGAAACTTACCTGTTTGCTGGAGTCTGGTATCATCTCCAAGAGGCTGTCCACAGCCACCTGAAGACTCAGAATCAGAGCAATGGTCAGCATCTATCCCTGAGGCCTGCTCATGGATCTTCAGCCATTGGGACTCAAAGCACTCCCACAGTGCTTGCGGGGAAGCAGCTGCTGCTGCCAGAACATGGGGGCCTTGGAGGTTGGCTGCCAGAGCAAAGGCTTTCTTCAAAAGGAATCTTGGCTGGATGGAGAAAGTCCAGAACCAAAAAACATCACTTAGTTCAGTTCTCTGCAGGACATGGAATCAAACAAGCCAACATAGTCTTTGCTAGATAGTTTAAAGAGAGAACTGTTTTTGTTGCTGTTGTTGTTGTTGTTTCAGTGTTAAAAAGGAAACAGTTTTGCACAAACATTTCTATGTGCTGGGCTGAGTGCACCTCCTAGCACTCTCCCCCCAGCTCCCTGCTCCCTCCTGGTCCCCCCAAGCTCACAGGAGGCCTCTGAAGATGGGTCTTGTTGGTCACTAATTCCCACAAGTGAGCCACACCCCCCCACATGCATCTTAGTGGGATGTCTAGGAACTCACGTGACCATCTCTCCAACACTGGACCAGAGTGGCGATGTTCAGTATGGTTGAAGCAATGCCATGTTCAGAATCTTGTCATGCCATGTTGATGTTGCTTTTTTCAGACCTCAGTGAACAGGTGCACAGGAGCCAGCCCTGTGGACTCATGATCAACTGATTCTGAATTCTGACAGTTTCTCAAGCGTCATCAACAGAGCTCTCCCAGAACAGCTATTTGGGTCATATAATGACCTTGCACCTCCAAGCCCAGTGCTGACACCAAGGGAAGACAATGTGAATGAAGAATGTTTAAAGGGTGAGGGTGAAAGGGGAGTGCATGGCGGATGGAGGTAAATAACCAAAATGCTAGCAAGGGAGAGAAGGACTAGAAAGAGGCCAGGGCTGAAGAAGGACCTAGTGATGGATTGGGTGACATCTTCATGTAGGCAGACTTCACTTTCCCATCTAACCTGGGAAGGCCCAGAGCAAGAGCAGGCCCTGCTCAGAGGTGGGACAATAATAGCTGCTGGGTAGAAAGTGGAGACAAGGGAAGCAAAGAAACTTCCAGATCAGTTTTTGTCTGCGTGGTTTTCAGCCAGGCCATATTGCATTTATTTCATGAAAAGCTTTAGTCTATCATGAATGCTATAAAAATTAAGGGTGGCCCTAACAACTAATATCAGAGTAAACCTTGGGATCACAGAGACTTTCCAAAGGACAAGAGCGAATTTCTGCCCTAGTACATTTACTATGGCAAATTGATTTACATTAGAAATGATTAAAGCCAGCATCATTACCTCCTGTCTTCAGGGGATACTCTAAAGGAACCAAAAAGGCAATAACAAACCAGAGTCCTAAAATAAACACAAACTCCACTCCAGTTCCTGCCGAGGCCCTTACCTATCTACCACACATGCAAAAACCAGGCCCCTTCTTTCATAGTCACATGTTGGAGAAGACAAAATCACCTCTCAAGCCCCCATTTTCAGCCCAGAGAACTGCCCTGGCAAGGCTAACTGCCTCTTCCTGCTATTTGGCCCAAGCATTTTGGGTCTCAGAGAGGGAAGAGACTGCATGCCTACTATTGTACTGTGACTTGCCAGTGTGGAAGCCAGAAGGCTGATTTTCAATGGCTTGCAACTACTACAGACTTCCTGGTGTAGGTCATGTACAGCCACCATGTTCAGCTTCCCTGAAAAAATGATAAAAATTAAATTGCTGAGAGCATTTTTTTCCCTCTCTAGCCAGTTCTATGGCATCTGGCCTTCTGTTATTGGAACCCTGAAGGCTGCTAGGTACCATCCACTGGAATATTCTGAGGGCACAAAGTTGTGCCAAGCCAGGCAACCAAGCTAGAGCCTTAGAGGATGATGGCACCTGGGGTAAATGCAGGGTTGCCTCATTCTTTCTAGATATTGTCCACAGTGAGCCCTACAACCCAGACAGTCTGCCAGAAGGCCCAAGACCTTAGAACAGAGGCTCTGTTTGGCTCTACCTGAGCTTCCAATGGCAAAAGGATCATGGCCTCCCAGAGTTCTCCCTCCCTGTCTGTCTGAACGAGGTTGACTTTAGGCCCTGAACATGGGCACTCCATAATCAGGGAGGACCATTTCTGGGCAGCCTAGCCTGGCCTGGTCCAGGAGGAGTCACAGCATCTGGCTTTAGAAGGTTTGGACAGCTTCAGCTTAGGAAGGCATTTCACTGGCTGTGAGGAGACACGTAAACACTCACACTAATCATTTTGAAAATGTGTCCTTTGAAGAATTAGTGATGGCTTCCGAGCACCATTCTGCTGCAATAAAATGTCCTGTTGGGTCTTGAGCTCATGGTTCTGCCTCAAAGAGGTGGCATTCTGGGGTGCCAGGTTAAAAGGTTCAGTGTCATTTTCCACCACCCACTGCCCCAAGGTGTGGAATAAATAGCAAGGGAAGCTCTCATGGGCCTAGCATAGAAAGGCTTTTTGGCCTTCTTCTCCCCTTTCCCTACAAGCTTATGAGTCAAATAGTGAAGGTATCATTTGTTCCATTTTACAGAGGAGGAAACTGAGGCTGCAAGAGGGGAGATGGCTTCCTTACAAGGCATCGCCTCCTACTCCCAATGTGAGGAGCTGAATCTTCTTCTTCTGTACCCACTCCACTGTCTTGATTGCCTCATGATCAAAGTGACAAGAAGAACAACTGGCCTGTCACCCAGGGGATAGAGAACAGAAGAGAGAGGAGTCAGTGGGAATGGACACAGATGTACTGCCTGCCCCTAAGAGACAAAAAAGCACTAATGAGAGAAATTCCAATCCAAACAGCCTGGAAGCTTCACCTCACACTCCAGGGCTCACTCTCCCTGTGTGAGTTAGCACACTCAGCTCAGACCATGATGCTTGGATTAAACTTATCTGGCCGGGGAGGGCACCTCAACTGGCATTGACATAATTCCAGGCCATGCTCCCCCAGCTGGCATAGAGTCCTACTGTGGTGGGCAAACTGCCCAGGCCCCAAATAAGAGAGATGGAAGAAAAGATCCCCATCAGAGGGGCCATGGGAAGAGAGGAGCACAGACACACTGAGGGTGGAGCCAAGACCTGGTCCCTCCATTCTAAAAAGCAATTGGAGAATGCTGTTTATACACACACACACACACACACACAACACACACACACACACACACATTGATGCTGGGATAGTACTTTGATCCCAAGGAGGTCAAAAAGACAAAGTAAGAATTTTAATTCTAATAGACAGCATTACTTTTCTGGTAAAGCAAAAAAAAAAAGTGGAATTGAAAGGAATGCCCATTGGTTGGGGAAAGGCTGAACAAGGTGAACAAGATTACTAGAAAGCAAAAACAAGAAAAGAGTGGTTTCTAGGGATGTGTGACTGCCCAGCACACCAGTGCTTCTTAGAAAGATAAGAGACCAAAAGAGTCCCTGGTTGTGAAAAGCACATGGCACATTTTCTCACTCTTCTCCCAGGTGCATCCTACAGCACTCACATTCATTCCCTCTGTGGGAAACAAGGTTCTGTTTACTTCATTCTGTCCTCCAAGTCTTCTCATGCTCCTGCAATTCTTCCTAGCTTTCATTTTTACTTTTTTTTTCTTTTTTGTTGGGCAATGAGGATTAAGTGACTTGCCCAGGGTCACACAGCTAGTAAGTGTTATATGTCTGAGGCTGGATTTGAACTCAGGTCTTCCTGAATCCAGGGCCGGTGCTCTATTCACTGTGCCACCTAGCTGCCCCCACTAGCTTTCATTTTTAAAAGAATACTAAGGGCCGCTAGGGGGTGCCATGATTCACAGAGTGCTTGGTCTACAGTCAAGAAAACTCATCTTGCAGAGTTCAAATCTTGCCTCAGGCACCATGGAAAATGACTCAACACCAACAATAAAGAATAGTAACATTCACTTCCATTGGGGTACCACAATTTTGTAAGATTTTTTTTTTACATGGCCCTGAAATGCTGGGCCAACTTCAAACCAGCTCAACAGCTCTTCTCCAAAAGACTGATGAGAGCAAGGATGTGCATGAAAGACCCACCAGGAAGCTGTGCTCACTACCACAGGAGCGAGACCTGACATCCCCGAGGGCACGAGTCCACAGAAGTACCTACAGTAAGCTGATGGGTCAGACAGGGTGAGAACTGGGATGCCTCACTGGCCTCTCCTGACCATGTGTCCAATGTGAAGTTCTGAAGTTAGGGTACCATCTAATGAAGACAGGGTGCCTATAATTCTACAACAGGGCAAAGCCTGAAAATGAACTTGTCCAAACAGGAATCTTCAAGACACACAATATAATCTGATGACAAGCAACAAATATTTAGCACCTATTGTGTGCTAGGCTTGATGCTGTGAGCAACTCTAATACTGCCTGCCCTGGAGCTTCCATTCCAGTGGGAGGAGAGAAGATCATATACATACGTACTCATGGATGTACTACACATGTACATTTGTCTACACAGAATAAAAAATAGATATTCGAGAATGGAGATCACAGCATTAGGAGCTAGGGGCCAGGGGAGGATCAGGAAAGGCTTCTCACAGATGCCTCTGTGGGAATTTTGAAGGAAGCTTGGGTTTCCAAGAGGTGGAGTTAAGGAAGAATATTCCAGACAGGAGGGGCAGACAGTCTAAAGAAACAGAGACAAGAGATGACCTGCCATGGGAAAGGAATAGTAAGGATGCCTTTCAGGAAGGAGGGTAGCATGATGGAAGGGGGATGATGCACAATGAGGCTGGGAGGAGGGTTGATCAGGTCAGGCTGTGAAGAGCTCTCAAAACTACAAGGAAGAGTTTATAAGGGATCAGAAAGGACTCAGGGAGCCACTGTAGTTTCTTGAGGAGTGATAGGAGCAGATGCAATTCTAAGAAGTTCTCTTTGGCAGCTGTGCCTCCAGAGGATGGATGGGAGGGAAGGAAGCCAAGCAGGAGCTTCTGCAACAGCTGAAGAGATGAAGATCTGAACTAGGATGATGGCTGTGTGAGAATTCAAAGGAAAAAAAAAAGATGAGAGATGGAGAAAGTGAAACCCCAAGATTTGGCAGTGGATTGGGTACTTCACCAGAGGTAGAGTAAGGATCAGTCCATCCCCAAGCATTTATTATTGGGTGAGGAGAGAGAGAGAGACAAATAAAGGAACAGGGCAGAGCCTTCCAAAGTGGATGCCAAACCTGCAAAGGAGGCTG